TTTGTTCTTGTGGATGGTGAGCAATCAATCGCATTTCTCTGCAAACTGTTTTTATAATATATATGTGTTTTTCAATATTTGAAGGATAACTTTTCGATCTCAATGCTCGACTCTTCACATATGTGAATAAAATGGATGTGTTTATGCTAAAAGGAACTATGTTGCATAGAAATCCCATCGATATAGTCTTTTTTAGCATAAATCCTTCCAAAGGCATAAAAAGGCGTTAAACGTCGCGTCAGATTCGCCTCGTTTTGACGAGCCGACGAGATTTCCACCGATGTCGCCCTAACTTTAGTATCGGTTCCCCCACGCTCCCGGAGATCATTATCTGTCTCGTTCTAAGAGCCGACATGAGTGCCCATATCGAACACAATTTAGTAAACAATTAAATAAAAGCGGTTAAGAGTCATAAAGACGAGGAAGCGAGGTGTGATTTACATACAACATCTCAATATCCAACGGGCCGGCCGGTAGGGATAATTAATCGCTCCCATCGCGGCCGCGCTTATATAAAAGAGGACCGATTTTTGGGCGAAGTCATGTCCTAAACCGTGACACACAGTGGAGCGAAACATAGGGAGAAGTCGGATATGAAGCCACGAACAACTTCTTTCCTTAGGAGGTCATATTTGTTCGACATTGTGAATTAAGGAGTCTCAAGGAGATCCTATGAATCATACCCTAAAATCGACAGTTTTTGCAAACCTTAAGTCAATTTTAGCAGCATAACTTCGAAAATGGATCCTTCAAAGGGATTACAATGATTTGCCTCTGCAAAATAAAGAGAAAAACACAGAAGGAAAACTTCTAAGATTTTGACAAACTGTAAAATTTATAAAACTTGCGATAAATATTTTATATTTAGTATTTTGTGCAGTGTCAAGTGATTGTGGTGTTTTAAAATCTCCGAGTCTTTTTTTTCCATTTTGAAGGGGAACAAATCAACATCATTCCGTGAAGTTTTCGCAGAATTTTTTCCACACTACGAAAAAAAATCATGGATGTTATAAGGAATTAATGATGGGGAGTTTTCCATTTGAAAAATTAAGTATGACGAGAAATCTGCGACATTGCAAACCGAAATAGGTGGTTCGGTAGTTTTCTCATCGACATGGGGACTACGAAGAAAAATCATGGGTGTTATAAGGAATTAATGATGGGGAGTTTTTCATTTAAAAAATTAAGTACGACAAGAAGTCTGCGACGTTGCAAAGCGAGACACGTGGTTTGGTGGTTTCACCATCGACATGGGGTCTCTACAGGAACGACTATGAATACGAGCCTGCGGGCCGATAATTGAAATTTATAGACAAAGCGATATAGACAAAGAAGACGCAGAGAGTAGGGAGTGATCCTATTGGCTGAAATGGGTGGTTCCTACGGAAGGAAAGGATGGATTAACCATCGAGTATTTCGTGGGTTGCAGTTACTTAGTCGATTACCTACCCCCTTTGTCCATTGCAACCACCCGCTTCCACCAATAGGCTCTCTCTGTATCTATTTTGTCTACTTTGTCTACTTTTTTTGAAATTTATAGACAAAGCGACAGTTTTGTCTATAAATTTCAATATTCGGTCCAATAAGGCTTTTAAAGTTTTCAAATCATGTCCAAGCTCTGCCATGGACTGGATCTACTGTGCGACGACTGGATCGCGCTTGTCCTGTCCAAATAAAGCTCCCACGCGCGACACGTAGAAGGCGTCGCGAGTGACAAGGCGTAAATCTCCCGAGATCCGAAAATTTCAGTTGGCCGAGCCGAAATCCGAAGGCCGCTCCGATTTTTACGGCTCGCGTTTCCGGGGCCCCACCGCGCCAGCTCCCAAAAGTCTAATGAGTCCACATTACAGGCCACGTTTTAATTGCTTTTATCGATTAATTTGCCGTTTTATGGGCTCTATTAAGGCGTATTAGGCGACGACCGGACGGGTGCGGTGCTGCTCAGCGAGTGGGCGCAAGTAGCCAATCCGAAGCGACCCGAGTCGGAATGCGTTTCATTTTTCGTCCGAACATGTCCGCGCCCCGTTTCCCCACGACTTTGATTTTATTTCTCTCTCTCGTCCGACTATTTTATTTCTTCGGATATTTGAGTTTTTAACAAGTCGCGGCGCGGGTTAGTTAAGAAGTTGCAAGATAGTGGAACTCTTTTATGTATCAGCAGTGTCGTGGAAGGATTGTACTCCTTCTGAAGTTCACACAGGGTGGCAAAATTTCATGAGAAATAAAATCTTGAAATTTCACGTGAAATATTTCATGAAATTTCAGAAATGTATGAAAGATATTGAAAAACACCGATTCCTTTTCATGTTTCGCAAAATGTAAAAATTGTGACTATCTTCTATTTTTGTGTGTTTGAGTGCGGGTTGCACACTCTAGCTAGAAAATATGAAATATTTCACAGCCTCGTGAAATTTCATGAGATATTTCACTGGAATTTCCAACCTTTCATTTTTTTCTTACGTTTCATGCCACCTTGAGTATATACACACTGTATCAATTTGTTCACAGTGACCCTGTGATATTTGCTCATTTGAGTTTATTTTACCGCAAATAGACCTCAAAAAAGATTAGCATCTTGTTTCGTCTATTTACAGCATTATAAATCCCACTTCTGCAGTTTATAACAAATTATGAACTAAGAAAATTTGGGTGTGAGAGGGCTGCCTCTCGGGATTTTCAAACGGGAGCCATCCTTCTTGAAGTTCCAATAATACCAGAAAACAGTGAACATATTTTCTTTAAATAGTTGACTCTTGATGCGATTTAAATTTTTCTTCATGGTAAACATTCGGAAAGCTAGACGTCATCTTAATCTAAGATAAAAAGGAAAAATAAACTATTCTAAAGAAAGACAGGGTGTAAGCCCGGAGTTCGAACACTCTAGTTCCTATTTATTTCAGTAAATAGCTTGAAGAAAGAGGCTCTACTCAATGTGTGTTTAAAAATTAAAGTTCTACACGGAGGGCCTGATTCTGAATACTCGTCAAACAAAAGGACAAGAAGCGCGTTGGTTCCGATGCAACCGTATACTGACATCATCCTGCATCTTTGCGCCTTTCTCTGCTCTGCTTGAACTTTCGTAGCGACACCTTCTCGGCCGAAGTGCAACGGGATGGGGGAAAAGGGGGTGCAAGGGGGAGGAGAGAGGCTGAGATTGCTCACGACTTGAATAGAGTTTGCACGCGCATTCAAACGTGCGTCCGTAACACCGTAAGTGCGTTTGCGAATATAGACTCCTCGGTGTAAAGACTGTCGACATTGCTGACGTCAAAGGACAAACCTCTACTCCATAGTTGCCGTATTTTGAGACATAGAGTTCCATTTCTGCGGTTTACGCAACTGATCGAACTTCGGATCTTCTCGAATTCGCATTATTATAGCTACGATTGGTGTATCTTTGGTGAAAATGCGACTTCGATGAAAACTCTGTTCAACGATTTTAACCCCCGGGTATAGAAATGGCCAAGCAAATCGCTACAGGTATTCGTATGGAAAGTAAATACGATTTCTTTGTGAAATAGCTCCTCTTACATTTACAACTTTCAGGTATGATTACTCGCATCGACGGATATTTGCTGAGAGGGTGGAGCCAGAAATGAATATATAAATTCTCTCTTTAGAGAAAATCATACTTCAAATTTCTCATTAGCAATACGTAACAGTTCAGTAGCTAGATTAAAAGTGTCTAACTTCTTGCTCACCTTTCCAATCAATGCAATGATGATGTGAACGAGCAGGATTTACATTTCTTGAGATAAACAAGTGTGCTCTACCTTTAAAATATAGAGTCTCGATTTTCAGAATTTAAGAGCAACTATAACCGAAAAAAAAGGCATGAAATAAAAACAAAATATTCTCCACGCACAAAACCCTAATTTTACGCTGACAATAATTCTGCACTCCTCTAATATTTTTTGCAAAAGTTTGCTTCCTTGAAGAGACATTAGCATGAGCACAAATGTACAACAGATAAAGGGATTGTCAGTTTTACTCACAAGCTTCGTCGGCTTCGTTTAAAAATCAGACCCAAATCCCAAATCTTTATTTCTTAATGCCAAGGCTTGGATGCAACTATTCGTACCCCAGTTTTATGTGTATTGCATGTATAAGAACTTGAAGGCGCTCTGGTGGTTTGATCAGTGCAACGCTAGCTCCTGGATGCAACTAAACGTACTCGATGGTCGTCCATGTTGCATAAATTAAAACTTGAAGGCGCTTTGCCTCTCTCAGAAGCAACTATTCCCACCAAACCCCATTTCTCTACTCCGTATAAGACTGTGACGTAAATAAGTCAAATTTATAAAGGGCATTAGAGAGTATTCTGATAGCCATGCTTTTGTATCATAAACGGTCAAAATGAAGACAACAATCTGTTACGAGTAAGGTGCCAAAGAAAAAAACTTAACAGGTTTGATAACGTTAGTGAATCTTTTTGGGTGATTAGAATGGTTTGAAATAAAACTAATGGAACATTTTGAAAATAACAAAGAAAGTCTGAAAAAAAATTAAACATACTGGGGATATAAGATTTGATTCATATGTAATTTTTATCGCCGAGTCCAAAAACGACCTTTGTTTCTTTCTTTCAACCATCGCAATTTTCTGAAAGATCTTATATTTTTTATTTTCAAACCATTCTAAGGGTCTACCAGGATCTTGTTTGCTTTCAATTTCACTCAACACTCATAGAAATTGTCCTTTTTTTGACGTTGTAACGCAAATAAAATCGGACCACTTAAAGGAAAAAGTTGTTTGATAAGAAATTAAATGGCCAAAAATCTAAGTCTTCAGATGCTATCAGCACACTTCAATACGTCATTATATTATGTGCAGATTGAAAAGGCTGGCCTTCATGGGACGTGAATTTTTGTGTTTTTGACTCAAATCAGGATTAAGACTGTTTATAAAATGAGTCGCTTTGAAAGGTTCTTTCATAGTAGGATGAGGGTTCGAAATGGTATCGGGGCGGCAATCTACACAAAGTAAAAATAAACTCCTACCTAATAATTTGGTTACAGCTCCTTGTTGATGATTGAGGACGTGTTGCGCCAAATCATATTGGCGTAACCTGGATATTTCTAATAAGCGTTGTTGACTAACAAAAGATGCTAAAGGCTGTTGGGTGGCTGCAAGGGCGTAAAGTTCTCGCAGTGTTGATGCAGGAGTACCTGAAACAAACCGTTTAAAATTCAACATTAGCCGCTACAAAAATAGATCATTACAGACATTTTTTTACTATTGCACATGCATTTGTATCGATCAATTCTCGAATGAAGGATGACGCCAATCAATGAAAACGGGACAAACTTGGTTTTACCGCTAAAGCGCCCCTACATGTTGCTGTTTTTTCGTAATGTTTTTAGATATGCAATTATTTTTTTTTCATTCAATAGAAATCCCCTACTTGAAAATAAAAATTATTGTCTTACACATAATACCGACATTTACAGGGTAAGTCTTAATGAAAACTCCAATTTTAAGTTTTGAATATTTAAGTTTAATACAATAAATATGTTTTTTCTTCCTTCATTTCTTTCTTTTTTTTTTACTGTTTTAAATACCACACAAGAGGCAATTTTGCGCTTTCAGTTAGAATCCTACCCCTTCAGCTCCTATCATACAACCAACCGTTGTTTGAGACCATCAAACTCGGGTCGTATAGTCGGGAATCGAATCCAGGACCTCCTGGTTATAGATTCAATGCTACAACCAATATACCAGCAGAAGAAATTCTCTACATAATTAAAGGAAGAATAATCCGAAGTTTCCCATAAAATTCGCATTTTCTCAAAGGAAATGTGACGGCATCTAATGGCTCATACGACGCTTTTCCTTAAGACGGGAGAGTGGTTTTGAGCAATGATGAGTCTGGAAGCACCTCATCGGCAGCGCCGGAGCCCAGCGGGGGGCCGCAACCCGCACTACCTCGCCACCGCCGCACAGTGGATCGAGTCAATATGAGAGGTTGGACAAAAATCGGAAATTTTAAATGCTTATAACTCCGTTTATACACAACTTTGAGGTTCTAAAAGTGGTTCTATTGGTTTTTCCGTAAAATTTCCTGCTGGAAGCTCCCCTCAAAATTTAAAATGTGAAAAAGCAAACATCAAAATTTGCAGTTTTAGTAAAAAATTTTATGTCCGACCTCCCTGATTGACTCAATCCACTGTGCGACGGCCGCAGAGGATCGTGGATCATGGAACTGGAAATACCTCGGAATCAGGACTACGACCAATTTCCTGGCGGCCCTGCTCCTTGCTCCTGCTCTCGGCTGGCTCCCGGTCTTGATAATTGGAAACAACTCGGAGCTGATTTGCGTTTTGGTTTCGGACGCCGGCCGAGCAATTTCTACGCTCAAATAAACCAAATTAGCTACGAGCAGCCAGCCCATCGCCACTTCGATTCCTTTTGTTTGATATCCGTTATGAATATTCATATGCCAACCGGTGACATCGGGGGGTCTCCAATTGCTGGGTACTGTTATGCATGCCTTTATTCATGTTTGACCTGCTTGCCACGCACTGAATCCATTCCCTGGTATCCCACCTCTCTTTGTTTTGTCCTCTCGCCTTCCTTATTAATTAGGACTAACATTTACTCATATAAAATTCACGTGTATGTAAACAGATTACCCCTCTGGTTACTTCTGTAATCTTAGCTAAATTGTGTCACAGTGACGATTCCCTTTTTGTAAATTTTCACGCGTCTAATGCGTGATTTGTGCTCAATTTTTGTGAACAAGTTTTGAAATGTTTGACCTATGTTATTAGTGAATCCTAGGAAATTTCAAATGTATTTTTGGATCAAGTCCAATAGATAAGAACGAAGTTTTTTCGGCAAACAAAGGGTGTGCTCTGTGCTTGCTAGATGTGCATGACAAAATTGAAAATAATCACTACTCGGCAAAAAATTCAACATCGATGTACTTGGTACCTTGTTATTTAATCGATTTCACCGATAGAGAATCTGAGGTGAGGCTAACTACGTACTCGGCTCTTTACTTTGAGTTCATTCTACTTTCTTTGCATTTCGGAGAGAGGAGATGAGTCGTTAATTTTTTTTCTGTAAATCTGAATTTTTTATCAGAAAATACAAGTGAAGTTATCCTGTAGTTTATTAAACTATGTCTACGCTTTGCAATAGGAAACTTCAATTTTTGGCTCACATTTAAAATAACTTATACGTATACCAATACTTTCCCGATGCAAGTAGGTTAACATGCGAAATTTACTTCAATTAAAAGATTGAAACGCAAAATTTTTGCCAAAGGAAATGAAAAACAAACTCTGCAGCAAGCAGAGTGCTTTCTTTTCACAAAAAAAAAATTGGTTTCTTCTTTGATAAACTAGGCAATGAGAGCTTAAAGAGTTGACTCCGACTCATCTATGAGTGTGCGTGGTAACATAAGGAAGTCACCAACATCTTGTCCTCTCTTCAAATTTTCTTTTCCTTATACTCTAAATGATTCAGCTCGACATTTTTAGTTCCGTTCAAGAGCACCGGCGCGACCAGGCGGCGTGGAATCTTGTCACTGATTTGTGAATAGGCAGCGCATCGCGGAGAGCACAAGCGCTAAACACAAGCATTCGTAAGAAATAATTGGACACGAATGTGAGTGGAAAAAGCGAATTAGCGAGTCATAAATATGAGTGTAATTAGCCTGAAACATGGACTGAAACTCACTGAATGGGGCGCAAATTATACGCTCTTGCAGTCGGCACCAGGCAGCGGGGAAGCTCGCGACCTTGGCGCCAGCGGGAGTCAACCCGAGCATGCGATCTCTAAACATGCGATCGATCGAACTTCGAGCTTAAACAAGGGATACATAGGAAAAAGTCCTCGATCGATATTCCGCACGAATCATGGATCGATAGACTCGAGCTTTCCGTGTGGGGATAATGAGAGATTTCATGATGATACAATCGATGTGATCGGCGCAAGAACGCAGTATGTGCATTCAAATGTTGCCAGATTTATTCCGGTGAAATATGTAACTTGTTGAATCCCTTTACACGGGTCGGTTGCGCGGGTCACGGGATAGTGTTTTGATGCTTGATTCTTGTTGCTCAGCTAAAAATAATAAGATCTGCTCAACCAGCAAATTTCTACGTTTAATATTAACCGAGATATCGCGCTTTGAAAAATTGGTTTATGACGTCAAGTACTGTGGGAGTGACAACCTTCCTTGGTTTCTACCAACTTGCTTCCATCCGAGTTTCACGTTTTAGTAAAAATATGCGTCTCCTGGACAGTTTTTTTTTTTTTTTTTTTTTTTTTTTTTTTTTAAGAGTTTTATTAATTGTAACTTCCAATTAGAGGAAACATATACAATTATCATAAGTTAGAAATCATGTATGGTAAAGCAACGACTGGTTAATTGCTTATTATCATATAATTAAATTGGACAAATGAATGCGCTTTTTAAAGCGAAATATCTCAATTAATATTGAACGTGGAGAGTAGCTGTTTGGGTGGATCTTATTATTTCTAGCTGATCCACAAGAATCAAACACCAAAACACGATTCTATGACCAAGTTCCGAAATACTCGATTTTATTGCGAGAGAAAACATTTGACAAAAATGTCGAAGAGAAATAATCTCGCGATGTTTCCAGAAAATTGATAATACATTTGCAGAGATATGGCAACATGCGGATTTTCATACGGCGTTTTTCCTTACTACCGCAATGCTGCATTGAGCGCAATTGGAACTGAGTGCATGCCTCCTCGCGTGCGAGCATGGGATCCAATGACTAGCGCGTAATTTGCCTCCGTTTACTCACAAACGCACTTTTTATTTTTCCTCTGCAAATCGAAGTAATAATTAATTATTCTCTGCAGCTTCTCTGAAGCGATTCGATGCTTTAGGCGGATTGGACATTGCTCTATAGAGCGCTTAAACATTCGATTTTTCGAAAGTCGTCGGCGCGTTTGCTTACTCTTGTGTCGAAATCGAAATTTTAACGAAATTCACGATGGAAGCTGCTGCAGATAACACTACTTGCATCATGTTTGTAGACGGTTTATACTGAAGTTGTCTGAGGGTATTAAATATTATTGGCCGTATTCATATAGTTGCTCCTGAAACAGTTAATTTCCTTGGGAGGCCTCAACGATTAATGGAGCTCAAAGAGAATCTTTGACATCATAAAATGGACAATTTCAACAAAACTTGAGTACAATTCAGCGAAGTAACTTCGGAACTGGATCCTCGAAAAAGAGTCTTGTGAGAGATTACAATGCTTTGCCTCTATAAAAAATTAAAAATACGGACGAACAAAAGTTGCTATTTTTGAAAAATTTAAGGTAAGTTTTTACGTATACTAAAGTTTGGCAAAGTTTTTCTTTCGTATTTTTATTTTTTGCAGTGACAAATCCTGCTTATTCTCCAAGTTATACTGATACATTTGACTCATGCAACTCACAGAGGTTCGCACATTTTTAAAAAGTCTGGTATTTAGCTTTTAAAATGAAAGAAAATCATTACTTAGTACGTTACTATTGAAGAAAATTTGCGTTCTCTTGATAAATTTTGCTATTTTTATTTTTTTATGTTTATTTTCTCCAGCTTCAACATGAAACTGAAAGAAATAGTTCAAAGTTAAAATTTCCGATTTATTTCTATGGAGACTTTTGATGAATGCTGTCGGCAAGATTTATAGAAACACGCACTAAGAAAAAGAGAGAGAAGAAGAGTAGTTTACTCGATGGGGGTTGCATTGAATGGACCAAAGCAAATTTTAAATTAGTAACAGTATCGGAATTTGAGGAGAATTTTCCGGCGCAATGGAAGAGCAGTTAATGTGCTCCTTTCCTTGGATCAGCGCCTCCGGATGAAGCCGGGAATTGCATTCAAGAGAGCTACGCGTCATCGAATGTATCTCCGTGTGACATACTTGGTGACACCGAGGGGGCTCACACGAAAACGACGACCCAGGTGCTCACCTCAATCGGACACAAAACGGAGAAAAACGGGCGAAAAATATGCGCGCAAATGGGCTACCGCGAAACGCGGATCCCAGGTTTCGATCCGGCATTTGAATGGGATCGATTCCTCGAAAATTGAGCTATAGGCGGGCGGCTCGATTACAGGTTCGATTCGCTTTATTACGAGGGCCTCGCGCCGCGCCGCGCCACCAAATCCCAACGTGAAAACTAACTCTTCAAA